TATATTGCCGTAATTGAAAACATTTGTGTGCGCCTGTGTATACTCAAATATGCAACAATTATTGATACAAAATATGTTCAAACAGTATTTGAAACACAATTAGTGAAAAAAAATTAGATAAAATGCGCTTAGACATTGTAAATAAATAGCGCGAAAATATATTTGTGGCAACTCTGGCTGTTTGAGGACCGCGCGCAACATCTCCCGGGCGTGTACTGCATGAGCGACCATGCAGATTGTGACGTCATCGCAGAGCTTCTCGGCTCTATTGCAACAAAAGTAAGTACAATAGAATTTTTTTTTTATTTTTCCCATGATCAGTGAACAGAACTTAACAGATTAGCAAAAAAAAAAAATTTTGTTTTTTTTCAAAATGACATGCGCCTGTGTGGATAGCAGGATATTAGACCCCGAGCATGTTAAGGGTTAACGAGTTTTTCGGGTTATGAGCCCGATTTGGTTGGAAAATTTGCATCGGGATACGAGAATTGCATCAGGTTACAAGTATGTTGATATGCGTACGGGCCGACTAGCGCATGGTGGCACGGCAATTGCGCCTCATTTTACCAGTGCCTTGCGCCCAGTGACTATCCTGCCTGAATTCTTCACAAGGATTTACATTTTTTTGTTGGATTTTTGGTCATTTGAGCGTAAAAGTTATTATATCTCGCCATGGGTCCCAAGAAAGCCAGTGGTAAGGTTCAAGGCAAGAAATCGCATGTGAGGATGACAATAGAGGAAAAAAAAAAAAAAAAAAAAAAATCATTCGGGCGCATGAAAATGGTACTCGTGTTGTTGAACTAGCTAGGCAGTAAAAGAAATCTTCAGGGAAGGAAGAGGAGGCAACAGAGAATGTCCCTCATTAATTAAGAAAATGTGTGCAGTATGGGAAGGACTGCAAAGTTTCGCTGAAAAGAATCGCCCTGATAAAGTTGTAGTAGGCTGTTGCATTGAACTTTTTAATGATGATGTGATGCCCCACTACAGACAGGTGTTGCAAAGAAGGGAAAAAGTCTTCAATGGAACGTTTCCTTGTGAGAAAAGTGAGAAAATCAAGCAGTGAGCCACAACCAGGTCCTAGTGGTATGCATGCAAAATGTGCCAGAGTGCATTCCAGAGAAATCTTCACTTCCTGATGTTATAATGGAAGGGGACTTCCCCCTCCTCACCATCTTCCATACACCAACAGGAGTCATCAGCAAGGGTAAGTAATAACTTGAACATACCTGTGTAGTGTAGATTTGGATGAATTAGGTATAAAATTTAGTTTGAAGTTAAGTTTTTGGGTAGTCAGGAACGGATTAATTCATGTCCCATTATTTCTTATGGGAAAATTAGCTTCGGTTTACGAGTTTTCGGGTTGCGAGCTGTCTTCAGGAACGGATTAGACTCTTAAACCGAGGTACCCCAGTATACATTGGCAGAGACTAATATGTAGCTATTGTTGAAAAAAAAAGTTGTAATACTGTAATAAAATTGATAAGCTGACTTGACTTTTTATGAAGCTGAAGATTGCGTCATCCTTTGCGGCGCTTATTTAGTATTGTTCAGTATACACACTATGTATGTATGTATGTATACATACATATTTACATATGAACACTTATTTTCAGGCATTCACTTCACATAACAGCTAGGCATGTTTCTAATTCTCATGAGAGTAATGCACTGCACTTTAATAAAAAATGTTTGACTAACAGCTGTAATGCACTTTTACAATTGAAACTTATTTCTGTATTTACACTGTGTACTGTATATCTTTTTTTGTCAAGGCTTAATTATTCATTAACACTTACAATACTGTACTGTCAACACTTTTTACACTAATTTGTAGGCTTTTCAATCATTTCTTATATAGTTAGCGAATGCTGCACGACTCGTCAATGGGAATTCAGCATCGGAGGGTGCAGCATGGCTTGTAGGGCATTCGTTGCAGGCAGATGCTGCATGACTTGTTGAATTCCCAGCGGGTGCAGCATGGCTTGTAGATAAAGATTTTTCATGAACCATTGAAATTATGAATTTATCCATTTTTGTATGAAGCAGAGTATCTCTGGCTAACGTTGTGAGACATTGCTTAAAAGCTGTAAAGTGTACATAAAAATTTCCAACAACCTCATGTTTACTTTTTCTTGAATATTCAATGAAGTCCTCAATTTGTTGCAATCTTTTCTGATATGACACCCTCTAGGCAGAGCCTCACCAACATCGTCTGAGTCATCATCAGAGTCATCATCATTTCTGAGAACACTTTTAGTAATCTGTTCTTCAGTTAACAATTCATAACCAGGATCATAATCATTTTCTTAACAATTCATTGATATCATTCACTTGTACATCCTGACCAGCCTGGAGGAATATTTTTTGGATCCTTTCTTCAAACCTTCAAAATCGTTGGCTACATTTTCAAAACCTTCGAATTCACTATCAGATACTGCTGCTTCACCTCTAGGCCTCTCTGTTAAAAGTTTCTTCCATGAATTTGTTAGTGTGGTTTCTTTCACTTTATTCCAAAGCCCAGTGGAATATTGCTTCTCTAATTGTGTACTTTTAAAATTTTCTATTCTTTGAGCTCTTGTATCCTTTCCTGTCGATATATTTTCCTCGGTAGGTAAAACATCTTCAAGCATTGCTGTTTGGTACATTTTTTTATTTTTTTTTTTTTATTTTTTTATTTTTTTTGAAGATATATACAAAGAGTTGTTACATTCTTGTACAACCACTAGTACGCGTAGTGTTTTGGGCAGGTCCCTGGAATACGACCCCCACGAAGAATTGTTACAACCAAGTACACATTTTACCGTTGAGTTAAACAGAGGCTACAGTTAAGGATTTGCGCCCAGTAAATCCTCCCCGGCCAGGATACGAACCCATGACAAAGCGCTCGCGGAATGCCAGGCGAGTGTCTTACCACTACACCGTGGTGACTGGTAGCAAAGATAGTTTTGTAGCAAGGATAACACCTTGATCCATGGGCTGGATCGAGGATGTTGTGTTTGGTGGAAGTGTCATGCATTTTATTCTGCCATTCCATGAAATTAACTTGCTAATGGGATGAGCAGGGGCATTATCTAGCAGCAACAATGCCTTAACCTCACTGGACTTTTTTTTTTTCCACACTTGTTGATCTGGATTTCTCTAACCTTGCAATAGTGGTTTTCAAACCAGTCCGTAAATATTGATTGATTAAACCATGATTTCTTTGAACTGTAATATATTATGAGTAGTACCTACATTATATTTTTTAAGGCTCAAAGATTTTTAGACTTGCCTACCATGGCACATTTTGTCCTGTGGGAGGCATCAGCATTAGCACATAGCAACACTGAGTCATTCCTTGCTTATCTTTCGTCCAAGAATATTTTCCTGCATTCTACTGGTTAAGGATTTACTGGGTATAGATCTCCACATAAACCCTTTCTCGTCACCATTATATACTTGATATTTGCTTAAATTGTTACTGACAATGTACTGGTTTAATTTATCCTTGAATGATTCAACATTAGTGGGATCAGCACTTTAAAGCCTCCCCAGAAATTTTTTTGGTCTTTGAAATGTTATGACGAACCTTAAATCTTCCAACCCACCCATCACTTGCAGTGAAATCTTTTATATCTAATTGTTTACTTGCTGCAACTTTAAACTCTTCAAATTGTATTGCAATGCCAATTGTGCGGTGCTGAATAAACCACTTATACACTGCAGCATCCAATTGTGGATACTGACCAGCCTTTACTGCTTTACTCAAACCTGCAGTACCAGAAGTAGCACACTGGTGCTCGCATATTTTAATAGCATTTCCTTCTGTTTATTGATGTCACTTACTGTACTTTTGCCGATGTTAAACTGCTGCTGCTGTTCGTGCATGAGAATATCCTTTTGTCAAGTTTTTTAATTAACTCCAGCTTTTGTTGGAGTTTATTAATAACTTTAGGCATTTTGTAAATTGAATTGAAAATCACTTAACAGTTATGTCCTTCAAAATTGAAGGTAGCCGCACTAGTTCGCAGTAAACAATGAGGACACATGGCCTGGCACAGTACATTCATGTCCCTAGGAAAAAAATACCTAGTACATATACTATAAAAGGTATTTAATCCCTGGGCTGCACTTGATTATACCCTGCAACACGCCCAGGTGCAAGAAATACAAAAAAGAAAACCATTTTTTTTATCTTATAAAAGTGTTCATTTGAAAAGTGTTCATTTGTGTTTCCTGACCACAGGGGAAAAAAAAATCGTAGGCAACATATTTTGGCCGCAATAGGTGGAGGAAGTCTGGCAAAATTGAGGCATTGACAGAGCAATTGTTGGAGGCGGTCAGCTCTGCCCGAGCTGTCTGGTGGGGAATTGCCACAAAGATATTATTACCTAATTATTTCAATATACAGTATCTGATTTATTTTTTCTTAGTTTTTTGCAGTAATATTATTCAATAGTGTGTAGTGTGATATATTTATACGATTTAAAAAAAAAAAATGGCATCTGTTTTACAAGAGCCTTGCGGAAGCTGATGTGAACTCTGTGTAGCGGTGGGACTTTTAAATCTTGCGTGGTACTCCAACACATCAATAGCTCTGGTATGGAAATTCTGCGACAATTACTCACCCCAGCTATTGATGTGTTGCGCAGTTTAAGGGTTAATAAGAAAACAGAATTTTGCTTAATAACAATTGTTTCAAAATATTTTATTAATAATAATTTAGAATTTGCTTCATTAAACTGTCATTTTAAAAGAAAGTTGAGATTTAATTTACGACTGTACGATAGAGGTTGGTGGCCTGCTTGCCATCTGAGAGCCCGCTAATGCCAAAACAAACTCAATACCGACTTACGGTTCTATCGACCGCCAGACCAGTATATGAGGCTCCAGATACCAGTCTCTCAAACTGGTCGATGGAACCACCAGATTGGTAAATAAGAGGCCGTTAAATAGAGTAGATACTGTATTGTACATGTATTTAAATGTCTCTGCTTAGTTTATTTAATTTTTCGTTTCAGGAAAGTGTATCTGATATTGATGGCTCAGCTGGCTGTGACATTTGGCATGGTAGCAGTTTTCAACCTCAGCACAGAAGTAAAATTATATTTCGGGCATAATCCAGCATACTTCTATGTTGCACTTGTTGGTACGATTGTCTGCATCATTGCTTTGTCATGCTGTGGAAATCTAAGGCGTCGAACACCTCATAACTTCATTTTCCTAGGGCTCTTCACGGTAAGTCTCTTTCTGGGCTTGTTAATTTGTATAATTTGTAATGTGTAATTACCTAAGTTTATTCACCCAGGTGTAGTTACAGGATAAGAGCTACGCTTGTGGTGTCCCATCTTCCCAGTACTGTCATATAACGCTTTGAAACTACTGACAAGTTTTGGCATTCACTACCACCTCACTTGTTGCAACAGTCTTCCACTCTGTTTGCGAAAGTAAATTTTCTTATTTCTTTGGCAGCTTTGTTTAGTTAGTTTAAATCTATAACCTCTTGTTCTTTAAGTTGCAGGTCTCAGGAATTCCTCTACCAATTTTATCGAATCCCATTACTATTTTGTACGTAGTGATCTTATCACCTCCTTTTCTTCTTCTTCTAGTTTTGCATATTTAATGGCTCTAACCTCTCCTTGTAGCTCTTGTCCTTCATTTCTGGGAGCCATTTAGTTGCATGTCTTTGTATTTTTTCCAGTTTGATGATGTGCAGCTTTATATATATAGGCACTATACAACCACTGCATATTTCAGCTTTGGTTTAATAAAGGTTGTGAACAATTTCTTTAATATTTCACCATTGATGTATTTAAAAGCAATTCTGAAATTAGAAAGTGTAGAATAGGCTCCTCACACGATGTTCTTAATGTGGTCCTCAGGTGACAGTTTTCTATCTAGAACCACCCCTAGAGCCCTTTCTTGAAATTCTAAAGAATTTCAGAATTCTTTAAAGATTTCAACATAATTTATAGATTGTGTGGGGTCTATGTTCTCCAATTCCACATTCCATAACATGGCATTTATTCACATTCAATTCCATTTGCCAAGTGTTGCTCTATATATTTATTTTGTCCAGGTCTTCTTGAAGGGCATGACAATCATTTAGGTTTCTTATCTTCACTATTATCTTAGCATCATTAGTAAACATGTTTATATAATTCTGTATTCCATCAGGTAGATCGTTTATGTAGACAATGAACATTACCGGTGCAAGAACTGAACCCTGTGGTACTCCACTAGGGACATTCCTCTAATTCGATACCTTGCCTCTGATTATGGTTCTCATTTTTCTGTCAGGAAATTTTTCATCCATGTTAGAAGCTTACCTGTCACCCCTCCAATATGTTCGTTTCCAGAACAACCTCTTATGGGGAATTCTGTTGAAAGCCTTTTTTTAGGTCCAGATAGATGCAGTCAACCCAACCATCTCTTTCCTGTAAAATCTCTGACTCGATCATAAAAACTGAGTAAGTTCGTTACACGGGATCTTCCAGAATGAAAACCATACTGTCTGTCTGATATATTGTTTTTCTCCAGGTGTTCTACCCATTTAGTTTTAATTATTTTTTCCAATATTTTGACTATTACACTGTCAATGATACATGTCTATAATTATGGGGGTCTTCCCTGCTGCCACTTTTGTAGATTGGAACTATGTTAGCCTTTTTCCACACATCAGCTACAACTCCTGTAAACAGGGATGCCTGAAAAATCTGTTGAAGTGGAATGCTGAGCTCAGGTGCATATTCTCTCAGAACTCGTGGTGAAACTCCCTCTGGACCAACTGCTTTGTTCTTACTTAGCTCCTTGAGCATTTTTTCCACTTCGTCTCTAGACACTTCTATGCGCTCTATGTTGTGTTCTGGAATTCTTATTGTCTGGTTCCCTGAAGATTTCATTTTGTACAAACACACTTTGGAACTTTTCGTTTAATGTTTCACACATTTCCTTTTCATTTTGTGTGAATCTGTCTCCCATTTTCAACCTGTGAATATTATCCTTTACCTGCAATTTGTTTATGAATTTATGGAATAGACCTGGTTCTGTTTTACATTTATCTGCAATCCCTTTTTCAAAATTTCTTTGTGCCTCTCTCCTCACTGCCGTGTAGTTGTTTCTTGCATCTTTGTATCGCTGGTATGTTTGGGGGTTCGGCCTCTTCCTATATCGATTCCATTTTTGTCTCTTTTGGTCTCTAGCCCTCTTGCAATTTCTGTTAAGCCAATCCTGTTTCCTAGTTCTGCATCTGTTTTGGTATAAATTTTTTGTGCCTTTATCATAAATTTCACAAAACTTGACATACATCTCATTTACTTCCTTGCCTAGCAACAAATCTATCCAATTATACCCGCTAAAAATTTTTCTAAGGTCGCCATAATGTCCTCTCCTGAAGTCAGGGTTTTCAACTATTTCATCCTCCTTATTTTCTTCCAGATTATAACGCATTGCATACTTTATTCCCAAAAAGACATGGTCACTTTTACCCAAGGGAGGAAGGTACTGAATGTCAAATATCTCTTCCTCCTCCCTGGTAAATATCAAATCTAGCATGGAGAGAACGTCCCCTTCCCTCATCCTCGTAGCTTGTTTAACATGTTCATACAAGAATGTTTCCAGGATGAGGTCTACAAATCTACAGGTCCAAGAATTCTCTGTTCTAGCTTCATATGCTTCCCAGTCTATGGATTTCAAGTTGAAGTCGCCGACTATCAACAGTCGTGATCTATTGTTATCCGCTCTCGCTATAATCTCTCTCTCATTGTTATATGACCTTCTCGTTTACTATCTAGCTCCTCCTTTGACCATGTGCTGCTTGGCAGTGGACTATATGCATTTATGACCATTAGTTTATCATCCTCATGACAGATCTCTAGTGCTATTACCTCAACTTCTTGTGGATTGGCAATCATTATTTTGTTCACCTTTAGGTGTTCTTTCACCAGCACAGCAACGCCACCACCTTTCCTAATTTTTCTGTCCCGTCTCCAAATTGAGTAGCCCTTTGGGAATATGACCTCATTTAAAATAACATCAAGTTTTGTCTCCGTGAGTGCAACAATGTCTGGTGTCTGCAGCTGTATTACATCACTTAAATCCAGTATCTTCGATCTCACTCCATCTGTTGGTGTATGCAAATTTCAGGAACTTGTTCCCCCTCTCCTTATTCTTCACTCCCCTTCTCTCTAATGATTTTGTTGGTTTGCCTTTATGTACCACTTTATTGGTCTGCCTACCCCTATCACTTTGTAGAAAAAAGAATTGATTTCTTCATTCCTGCTCTCATTTAAACGCTTTGCCTTGTCAAGGTTCAGTTTCAGCTTCTGTCTTTTTTTGAAATATCTCGTCTTAACGACCACACTTTCCTATCCTCATCAATGTAATTTTCTAGCATTCCTTAGTACTTCTTCCATCTGTTTGGCACCGTTTAGGGTAATCCTCAAAGGTCGATCTTTCCCTTTTACGTATCTGCCTATTCTCCTGTAGTCGCAGATATTCTCTATGGTAGTAAGACCTTCCATGAGGCCAACAATTTTATCTACTACTTTTGATTCTTCTACAGCTCTTTCTGACCTAGATGTTATATCCTTTTCTTTGCAACCACAAATTATCAAGTACTTACTCTGATCAACTGTGTTTTGCAGCAACTGTGGGTTTACTGCTTCTTCAATTTTTTCCTTCTCCTTGGCCACTTGTGCATAGGTGAGTTGCATATCTTTCTTGCACTGTTCTATTCCCTGAGAAACTTCCTCCATCTGTGCTGACAAAAGCTCTTTCTCCTGTTGACTTTCCTTAACCTAACCTAGTTGTAGTCATTTATGTTTAAATTTGCTTTAACTTCTTCCAAAGCTATTTTTAAGAGTTTTTCTTCTTCCATGGTTTTGCAATTTGTTTCCAATTGATTCTTGTCCTTGCACAAGTCTATCACTAAACCCTCAAGACATAAAACTTTGCTACACAAATGGTCATTACTTTCTTTCAATTTACTGATTATTTCTACACGAGTTCATTATAGTATCTAATTTGACCAACTTGTTGTGTAGACTGCTTATATCAATGCTTTCTTCATTGAATTCCCCAAAATCAAGCTCTTGTTTTTCCACCACTAAAGCCACTAGCACGCATGGCATTTCGTGCAGGCCCTTAATCCTATTTTTTCCCTGTAATATGATCTGCCAAATCGTTTAACAACCAGGTACCCATTCACTGCTGTGTGAACAGAGGCTACATTTAAGGATTGGCAACCGGTCAATCCTCCCCAGTCAGGATATGAATTCGGGCCAAAGCGCTCGTGAAGCACCGGGCGAGTGCTTTACCACTATGCCATGGGGACTGCTTGTTCTCTGGACTTCTCCCAATTTCTGTTAAACCAATTCTTTCTAGTTCTGCATCTCTTTAGTGCAATCATTGATGAACATTTAGGTACTACAAATATAAAGTTGTCCATTAATTTAGTCGAGGATAAAAAGCCTGTGTGTATATTTGCTTCAGGTTTTTATTTATTCCCAAGGTTAAACCACTGACTCACTTCAAGTTAAGTGAGAGAAGGTGGTGGAGGCCAAAACTGTCAGTAATTTCAAAGCATTATATGACAGAGTGCAGGGAAGACGGGACACCATAAGCGTAGCTCTCATCCTGTAACTACACTTAGGTAATTACTGACTCTCCCCAGGATGCAACCTCACAACAATTTTCTAACACCCTGGTACCTATTTACTGCTAGACGAACAGAAGAATTAAGCAAAAGGAAACATATCCAATTATTTTTATCTTGCCAGGAAATCAAACCTGGGATCCCCGACTGTGAGTCAAGAACGAAGCAAAGTGTTAGTCCTTAACCCTTAAATGGCGCATAGCTATATACCATTTGACACCCACAGGCGCATACCAAAAAAAAAAAAAAAAAAAAAAAAAAAAAAAATTATTTTTTCTTCCTAACCTGTTAATTTGTGTTCACTGATCACGGGAAAAATAATACAAAAATCGTAAGTGGCATATATTGCCCACTATAGGGCGGGGAATTCTGGCAAAAATCAGGCGCTGACTGAGCGTGCGTCCCAGGCGGTCTGTTGATCGCCAGCTGTCAGGCCAGAGTTTCCACAAAGAGATAATTACATAATTATTTCAATGTCTCTGAATGATTTTTCGTAGTTTTTTTGCTGTAATATTATTCAATAGTGTGTAGTGTGATATATTTATATAATAAAATGAGTAAATCATCGCTGTACTAAAAAATATGGTGTGCATATTGTTAATTCAATTATGTTCATCAAACAGTGAAGAAATACTTTGTCGGTTATTACACTATATACACAGGTTATATATAAGTATCTGCATGTTTTGTTCATCATGACGAACCACTAAGTTGGTATGCTGAGTGGCAGTGGCAGGCAGTGACTGGTTGCCACTGGCTGCCACTCCCTCCCTCACCTCACCTCACCTGACTTGCCACCATTCTCCACCCACTCCATTCTCCGTACTGTTTGTGCTTTTATATACAGACGTTATATATAAGTATTTACATGTTTTGTTCACCATAACTGTACATCTAAGCTTGTATGGTGAGTAAAGACGTAGCTACTCACACAGTCAGCTGATGGCTGCCGCCCTCAAGGCCAGACGCACTAATATTTCTCCTACAACAACACTGTGTGGTGTTATTACGCTATATACACACATTATATATAAATATCTACCTGTTTTATTCACTATACTTGTACAAGTAAACTGGTATGGTGCCCAAAGACCATCGTGGTCATGAGTAAACAACATAAGTCCTGCAGACGACGCTCCTCCCTCACCAAAATGGCGGCTCCCAACCTCCTACTCTCGCTGTTATCTCTCACTATACACACGTTATATATAAGTATCTACATTTGTGTTCACCATAGCGAACCACTAAGCTGGTATGGTGAGTGCAGTCAATAAAAGGTGGCCACATACACTCAAAAGACAACGCCACCATCCTCCCTCCCACAGCATTACTCCTCCCTCCATTGTGCACAGCGCCAAATATCACCACAATCCTGCTATTATCAGAACCCTGGTCAGTTTTATCACAGTTAGGGGTCTTCTGTAATATCATCGCTACATAATAGCATGAACAAGTATATTATGGCATTTTTAGGCGATGCTGTGGTCACAAGCTGAACAGCAGTGCTGAGAGTTCATGCTGCATGCGTCAGGCTTGGTAGCTGACTCAATACTGAGGCCCCTAACACCCAGGAGTTTGGCCCACGATTTTTTTTAAAAATGGCGTCTGTTTACAAGAGCCCTGATGAAGGTGTGGTGAACCTCGTGTATCCGCGGGCCGTTTAAATCTTGCGTAGTACTCCAAAGCATCACATGATGCGATGCGCAATTTACTGCAAGTCAGTCAAAGCATCATATGATGCGATGCGCATTTGAAGGGTTAATAAAAATTTAAAATTAATATTTTGACCATCATTATTGAAGTTTTGACCAACAAAACCTTGTCCATTCACTGCATTTAAAGGGTGACATCAATGATGGCTTAGGCAAAGCCTTGTAAATTCCATAAATTTTGTTGTACAGAACAACTTTGACTGGATTAGGAAATGTTCTAACCATCACCAAATTCTAAGGAATGCTATATATATTCTAGCAGGGTTCTATTTCATTGTCACTTAGGGAGCCTTTAACTGCGCAACGCGCCTGCAGGCCCAGGCTTAGGGTGCGCAACGCGCCCCCGGGTGTTTTTATTTTTCAAGTTCCATTCAAAACTCCCGCGGCTACATGGGGTTCACATCAGCTTCCTCAGGGGTCTTGTAAACAAACGCCATCTTAAGAGCCTCAGTAGTGAGTGAGCAACCAAGGCTGGCGCTCGCAGCATGAGCGCACAGCACTGCTGTTCAGCGTGTGACCACAGCATTGCCTAATATTGTCAAAATATATATATAATCTGTTTTATTTAGCCATGATAGTATTATAGAAGAGCCCGAGTGTGATAATGACTGGGTACAATGTTCAAATATCAGTGATTCAATGCTGTTCACGATGTTCACAGCGTTAGCCACAGCACCACAGCATTATTTCGTCCATCTAGGAATCTTCAAACGACTTTTTAGGTTCCTTTTCAAAATAAACTTGTGGTCAATTATTCATTTACAGGTATTAGTGACCAGGATTGTGGTTATAATGAGCGTTGTGCGTAGGAAGGAGAAATTTTGGTGAGGGAGGAAGGAAGGAAGAGAATTGAGGTAGCCTCACTGTGTGGCAGTAACTCTTGTTTTGCTCACCATACTAGCTTCGTGATTCGCTATGGGGAACACACATGTACATGGGTATATACAGTGTGTGTGGAATAGTGTAATAACAGCACCAGGAGTATGTTGTGAGGAGCTATTTTGGTGAGGGAGGTGACGTCGTAATCGTGGCGTCGTCTGCTGTCTGCTGTGTGATTTGTCATGCAGTGTATGGTGGCCACTATACTGTTTGGACACAATACCGGCTTACTTGCATAGTTCTGGTAAATAAAACATGTAGATAGGTATATATAACATGTGTAAATTGTGTAATAAATACAATAACAGTATGGTGGGAGGAGCAATGGTGGCGAGTAAGATGTTGGAGTGAGGGAGGGCTGGCTGGGTGTGGCTGCTCACACTCGCGGTGTTCTGAATGTGTTGATGGTGAATGTATATAGTATGTGACAGTGTATAGTCTGTAAATAGATTGTATATATACATAAATTAGCATGATACATGGTAAATATGTGCAACATGTGTACACAAGTGTCATGCACGTAGCACAGTGTCTTCGGACAGTACGGATGTTTTACTGCCATAATATAGTGTACGTGTTCATTATACATAGGATTAGCATGTAAAAACAAATAAAATGTATTTGGAACTGTGCGCAAAAAATGTGCAAAAATATATTCGCGGCAACTCGCACGCCCCGCCCCGGGCGCCCCACCGGCCCCGGGTGCATATTGCTCTGGCGCACAGGGAATTATGACGTCACGGCCCACCTTTCGGACCCCATAGCAATTTCGAACTTGCGTTGCTATACCCATATACAGGGAGGGGTTTTTGACACTTTCCGAGGAAAAAATAATTTTTTCCCAAGGTTTCATTTCCTGCGCACTGGGGGGATGTCATATTTATAGGCCGCGCAGTTAAAGGGTTAATGTGTCATAAATTAAGCTTTTTCTTGGACTTGTTATCCACTAACAGGTTAAAATACAGTACCGGAAATCTACACTAGGCTTCAATTTGACTTTCAGAGTCGAACCCAAGTCACATTATTTTAGTCTGAAACAAGATAATTTAATTAGTTTTGGGTTGTGTAGCTATTATGGTAATTTTTATCATTTCTTTCCTATGTGAATTGTTATTCAAAATAGTAATTTTATTTTACAGGTCTTTGAAGGATTTGTTCTTGGTACAGCTGCAGCCACATTCACTAGCTATGAGATTCTTATGGCTGTTGGTATAACTTTAGTGGTAGTGCTTTCCCTCACCATTTTTGCTTTCCAAACCAAGTAAGTGCAGTGTTTGCAACCAATGTGTCATGCTAAATTTATTAGTTTGAATAGTTTTATTATTTGAATTTTGTATAATACATGTACATACAGTGCAAGCTCGATTCAGCGAACATCATTTTTGCAAATCTTTTGCTACAACCCACACTTAACAAATATTTTAACTTTTGGACACTTTTTGATGCTCATCACTACAAAATTATTTATATCCTTCCAGTGTTCTGACATCAATTTTCATGTTACGTCTTTCATTTTGGTATCAAATTGTGCACAATCTAAAGGCGCTCATTTTGAAACCACTCCCAGATTGATCGGATAAAGTTTAAATTTTTAACAAATATTTTAACGAGTGACGCCGGACCTCGTCACCCGAGAGAGAGTCTCCTCAGTCACCCGACTGAGGAGACAAATGAATGACGACGGGCGGAGGCAATGGAGTGCGATAGTGTTAATTAACAGGCTGGATTTACTTGCCAGCTTTGCCAAATAAGTGTTTGGAGATTCAGCAAAGTAGGGTATGTGTAGATTTCCTTAGGAAGCATGGCTGGAGTTTACAGACATATGGGAGTTGTCCATCATATGATACTGAAATTCAAATTTTGCTTGAAATTAGCCCAGATCATGCGAATGTTTATTAAAGTATGGGTCCCTTCTCTGAAAATGAGCTTTCAAGGTTGGGGCATGGGAATTATGCTAGATGTAGTGAAACCTCTGTGTAGACAGGTTCATGATAACATCATTTTTATTTGCTAACATCCAGGGTATAAAAACATGTAAATCCAACAAAGTTCATTTTATAGCTGGCCTTGTATATGAGGCAAATGCAGTGTTTGCAGCCCTAATGGGAACTCACACCAAAGACTACAATGATGGTGAAATATGGGTTTCTGTGTACAATCTTTTTTAGATGTGACAAGAAACACAGGCTACAGGGTGGGGTCAGCCTCTACATCAAAGACACGTTCATCTGCACTGAGCTGCAAAACACCACAAACGATATGGTGGAAGTGCTGATAATCAAACTAGAGATCCTAAATGTAGCTTTTATCCTTGTGTATGTCACTGGAGGCAAATCCTCGGCAGTTTAAAAGACCAACTAATGAAAATACAACACTGCTTAGAAAACCAAACAAATCTGGCCCCAATCATCATCCTGCTTGGGGGGACTTCAACCTATGGCTCCTGAAGTGGAAGACCCTTGCTAATAGTTAGATCTGAGAGAATGATGTGAAGTAGCATAAATGTAGGAAGTAGTCACATGCAAATGACCTACTACGGTTGTGTGACAGATTTACCTTAAACCAGCAAATAGTAGAACTAGCTAGAAATAGAGAACATGCTGGACCTTATTTTCACTAATAATGTTGAATTGATCAGGAACATGATAATTACAAATACTTGTTATTCAGATCACAACTTCATTGAAGTTCTGACAAGCATGGGGAATAAACCTGCACAACCAGTCCCGAATCCCAGAGGAGGAAATTCGGCAAATTCAATTTTAATAATAAACAAATTAACTGGGAGCAAATACAGTGGTACCTTCGTTTACGAATTTAATCTGTTCCAAGAGACGGTTTGTAAACAAAAAATTTGTAAACCAACATAAATTTTCCCATAAGAAATAATGTAAATTGAATTAATCCATTCCACACACCCAAAATATTAACTTAACAAATACATTTTATACTGAATACTATTCATATTTTGTACTACAGTACACTACAGTACATCTTAACTTTATTGAGGACTTGTTGGTGTATGGAAGACAGTGAAGAGGGGGAAGAGGTGTTAGTATTTGGAAGAGGAGTCCCCTTCAATTATAACATCAGGCAGTGATGACATTTCTGGGGTACTCTTCCCTACATTTTGCATGCATACAACTAGGACCTGGTTATGGCTCACTGCTTGCTTGTATTACTAAGATTCTGTCTAAAGACACTTTTTTTTCCCTACGTTTTAACACTTGTCTGTCATGAGACATCACATTCATTCACTATTAATGATCTCTTGTTTTTCTTCTATCCTCACAACTATTTTCTTAGGTTGAACTTTATCACTGACTTTCTTGGGACCCATGTCATGATATATAATAAGAACTTTACTATTCAGAAACCAAAAAAGCAGAAAAACAATGAAATTCTTTACAAAGAATTTAAGTGTGGTCGTCATTAGGTGGGAGACTGGTAAACTGAGCGTGCCTCCCCCGCGCCCAGCAGAACCATGCACTCGTTCGACCCATACATGTAACAACAGACGTTGTATTCCAAAGCAAACATTGTACATAGTCAAATTTTATGAGGAATTTGATGTCATATACCAAAAAACTCATCTAGGACAGTCATAAACCAAGGTACCACTGTAAACCACTGTATGGCGTTTCCCCTATAGGCGAAGGAAACGAATCGCGGAACAACTCGAGAGTTACACCCTATCTCAAGACCGGCGAAGAAGGCTAGGTAGAGAAATAGAAACGATTGCACTAAAGCTACAAGAATCATACAAAATCCAGGAGGTTACCTTAAGGTTATCTTGAGGAGAGACAAGGAGAGCAAAAGGCCATCAGTGAAATATTGAGAAATCCAAAATATTTTTTCTCCTATGCAAAATCAAGATAAAAACTACATCTAGTATCGAGTCCCTGTGAAAGGGAGATGGAACTCTCACAGATGACAACAAAAAAATGAGCAAAATACTGAGAAATCAGTATGACTGTTTTAGCGAGCCACTAGACACACTTATTGATAACCCAACTGAAATTTTTATGGATGTAATACCATCATCAAATCATACATTCTGCACCAGGCCTTGATTCTTGGAACACTATTCATCAAGAACTTAAAAAAACCACTATCACAAAACCCTTCACATTCTTTGGAAACAGAGCCTAGATACTGGCATTATCCATGACATACTAAAAACAGCAGAGATAGCACCACTCCGTAAAGGAGGAAATAAGGCAGTGGCAAGAAATTACAGATAGCACTAACATCACACATCACAAAAATCTTTGAAAGAGTGCTAAGAAACACATGGAATCACAGCATCTCCATAACCCTGGACAACATGGTTTCAGAACGGGGCGCTCTTGCTTATCACAGTTGCTGGACCACTATGGCATGGCCTTAGATGCCATGGAAGAGAAGCAAAACACTGATGTAATTTACACAGATTTTTCAAACGTTTTCGATAAATGTGACCATTGTGTTATTGCACAAAATGAATTCAAAAGGAATTGCCAGAAAATAGGCATGTGGATTTACAATTTCCTGACTAACAGAACCCAAAGCTGGAGAAATTGCTGACCTGGAGAGTGTGCAGAGATCCTTAATGCTAGAATCCACTCGGTAAAACATCTAAATTACTGGGACTGACTAAAGAGCCTAAATCTGCACTCCCTTGAGCGCAGGCGGGAGAGATACATAATAATTTACACGTGGAAAATAATTGAGGGGCTGGTCCCAAACCTGCACACAGAAATAACATTACATGAGACCAGAAGACATGGCAGGATGTGCAGAATACCCCCGTTGAAAAGCAGAGGTGCAACAGGTACTCTGAGAGAGAACTCTATCAACATCAGAGGCCTGAGACTGTTCAACACGCTTCCGCTACACATAAGGGGCATAACTGGCCGACCCCCTCACTGTGTTCAAGAGAGAACTGGATAAGCACCTCCAAAGGATACCTGATCAACCAGGCTGTGACTCATACGTCAGGCTGCGAGCAGCCGCGTCCAACAGCCTGGTTGATCAGTCCAGCAACCAGGAGACCTGGTCGACGACCGGGCCGCGAGGACGCTAAGCCCCGGAAGCACCTCAAGGTAACCTCAAGGTAACCTCAAGGTAAGGCAACCCAATGTGTAGTAATAGGGGGTACAAGTGTTGTGTTAGTTAATTCTTCAGAGGTTGCATGGCGTTTCACCTTTCTTTCTGGGGGGAGCCCCTACGGCTCCCCGGAGCTTACTAGGCTGATATGCTAATGTCAGACTTTGACATCAGTCGTGTGTATGGAGTTCTTATGGGCCTACCGGGGACCACGAGCCAAAACCTGGCCCCCTCTAGAGAGGCAAGGGGAGCAATGGCCTATAGAAACCCCCGTGTAATTGGAAGCATTCTATATCTGCCATCGACCGGGTTAGGCACCCAGAAAGGTAGGCGTCCCAAAACAAACCCTTATTCTGGTGAAAATTGCAACCAAAAGCCGATTGAGTGGATAGAACTCTCCAAACAAAAACAAGCAAACTAGTATGACGTCATTCGTCGTCGCGCCGCTGTCTGCGCAGCCCCCCCCACTCTCCAAGAGGGGAAAGGGCAGCCCCAGACCTACCGCGCCAGCGATCCACACCTCAGTTCTTGAGACTGATGCTATCGGCTTGGTTGTGTGCTCTGGCTCCGGTCTTTTTGCGGCGCTATGCCTTTTGTGTGGCTGCTGTTCTCCAGGGGTGCGAGAGCCAGGAGTTAGTACTCGGGCTGCATGTGCCTAGGGTTCCCTTCCCTAGGTGCCTTGTAAGTACTGCCCTTGGAGCTTGGGGTTACCTTCCACAAGTTCCTCGGGGTCTGCCTCTGTGTGTCCGGTTTACTGCTCAGTTTTTCGGCCACTCTTTGGGTACTTGGGGGTTTTGTCTCCCATTGTTTACCTTAGGGTAAGAGGCAGTTTTTGCACTGGTAGAGGCGTAGGGTGCTGTGCAGCTAGTTGTCACCTATCACACCGGCCGGCTCTGTTCCTTGGGGTATGTTGTCCTCTTGTGGGGTTTTTCTTTTTCTTTTTGCCTTGGTGGGGGGTTCTGCCCTAATTGCCACTGGTGTTTGGCCTTACCCTGATACTTGGTGGTGCCCCCTGCTTGGTCCTCGTGAATGTACACGTCCCTGGGGGTTCAGCTTTAGACAGTTTGTTTGGTAGTTTTGGGCGCCGGTTAGCAGTCCCTTGCCTGGGTTTACCTGAGCACGAGTCCTCTTCAAGTAAACACTCAGGACCCTGGGAATCCCCTAGGGGATGCG